TTTTTTTTTTTTTTTGGTTTGTGTTTTTGTTGTTTTTGGTTGACCTCTTCTCTTGTGTGAGGTGAGCCCCTTTTTACACAGGAATAGACTGACATGCAAACAGGCGTCCCCTGCTCTAGGTGCTGCCTCCAACTTACGTTCCACCCTCTATTTCCTTGTGCTGATGCTGACTGTCACTGTTGAAGGTGGGTTTCTTCTTTCCTGACCCTAACAGCTGTCAGGCTTGTATCCTAAGGAGAAGTATGGTTCCTCCTGCTCCAGGACCTGGCTGGCCTGACAACAGGCTGCTGAGGCTGTTTAATGGGGCTCGAAGGGGAGAGCAGTCTTAAAGGAAGATGTAGATGCATGTGAAAGCATGGCAGCCTCCCTGAAGAACTGCAGTCCACACTTGTGCAGATCAGCACAGTAAAATGAAGCTGTTTTGATACTTGTTGATGGGAGAAGAACATCCCTCTGTCTCTTGCCATGTCTTATTTTAAGCGCTGTAAATAATGGATATGCTGGAAAGAATAAAGCTGGCCCATACCATGTGTCCTGGAGAGAGGTGTTCAACAAGGGGTATACTTGAATGAGATAAGAGCTTGTTTTTAAGAGTGGGATGGGGGGACTTCCTGTTTCACAAAGTGAGATGCATCAGTGTGAATGGACAGAAAAGCAGCAGCAGCAAGGTGGTGGCTATGCCCTGGCCAAGGAATGAGCTGATTTTATTTCATCTCTAAGCCTTATCTGAGCAGGTGCTTTTCTGCCCTGTTTGCTTGTTTCACAGTAGTGTTGAAATTAGCCACGGTTACTCTCCAGCATGATGCACAACACTAGCACTGTTAGGTGTGCAAACACCTGCATGATTCACATGATAAACCCAGGTCCTTCAAATAGGAATCATAACGTCGAAAACACTTTGACCAGTTGCTCTCTAGTAGCTTTCACTTGCTTTTTGACTACAGAAAAATAAGCTGGCATTTTCTGAAGGGGACTTTGAGTCTAAAAAACAGAGTCTTATACTAGACCAGTGGTTAAGAGGCTGGCTAGAAAGAATCAAGCACAGTATTTTGGTGAAACAGAACAGCTCTGTATTAACAAAACAAGACTAAGTACATAACAGCTCTGAGGGGGAGGGAGAAATAATTGCAGGGTCGCTCAAACACTTTCCCAGTGCACCGGACTACAGGACGGCAACAACACTGGCTCGCGTCTCATGAGTTGGTTGCGTCGTTGCTATGGCTTCTAAGCGTAGGTGGTGTTTTGGGGGCTAGAAGTCCAGGGCACAGATCAAGGCTACACCCTGCTTGATCCAGTGCCTCTGGGACTTGCTGCTGGGGATCTCCACAGCAATTACGTAGTTGGTGGAATGACCTGTTGTTGACAAGGTTCCTGGGATGGGAAAAGATAAAGATTGTAGGAAGAGGATGTGCAGATGGTAGAGTCCTATAGCACGTACAGTGCCTTGTAGACAATCCCACTTCTACTGCAGTGTCATGGAGATCTGACTGCTTGTTAGTGATGGTCAATAACCAATGGCTGGAGGAGCTTCCTATCTTAGCACTGCCCTTCCCACACTGTATCTTCAACCTGCACTTCTCCTACCCTGTTTCAGAGCCAGATTTAGCTGCTAACACTTCACCAGCAGGCTGGGAGTTACCAGGTCACTTGTTGACTGGTAACAGAACAAGCAGGATTTTCTTATAGTCCTGTGACCAAGTTCTATGTGCATGTTCTAGGGCCTTAAACAGGGAGGCTCATGTATTTTGATCCTGGGTTCAGTCCTTGTGGACAACTCAACCAGGAGTGTGGTACACAGGGAGGCCATCGGGCCATGCTATTAACCAGCTGGTTCATTCAACAAGCCCATCTGGTTAGTGGGAAGCACAAGGGAGTAAGTATGGTGCTCACTAGAGCTGTGTGAAATTTGGGCAGCTGTTTTGTTTTGGAGGTGTTTCAGGCCATTCTGGTGCTTGAAATGCCCAATCCAAATCGAAACTGAAGGCTCCAAAACAAAGTGGAAGGCTCTGAAACGTTTTGGAAATGTTTTGGAGCTGGGTTTGCAGGGAAACAAAAACTAGGAGGGGGGAAGGACTGCTCTGATATTGACATCTAGCTCCCAGTTCAATTCCCTAGCTCTCTGACCAGTTCCCCAGCTCTTCCTAGGGGGTGTGGGCCTCCAGCCTGCAGCAGCAACCTAGCGTGCAGATCCAGGGGCCTGTGTCTCACCACGGCTGCCCGCTGTTGGGGCAGCGTGGGGCAGGCAGCAGTGATGAGGAGACCCCAGCACAGATCTCTGCTCCCCTATGGAGCCGAGTTGCATGGCAGGGACCAGCAGACTTGTTCACCACTCTGCTGCTTCCCTGTCCCATGAGTTGGCGTGACAAGGATCAAAGATCTGCATGGGGGTCTCCTCATCTGCAAGGGGGGTAACAGCTCTCCCCTGGAAGAGCCACCCATGGCCCTGGCACCAGCCCCAAGCCCTTCCTGGCTGGGTAGGGCTGTGTGAAGTTTCCCCTGCACCCGTTCAAAAAAGATTCGAAGGGGATTCAGCAGAAATGAAATGGCAGTGGTCTGAAACACCAAAACAAATCACTGTCCTCTGAAACTGAATCAAAATGCACCCATTTTGCCCAGCCCTAGTGCTCACATATGAAATCTAGTGCAGTGTTATTGTTTAGTGTGAGGCCAGTTATCAAGGTGAGCAACTAGTTGCTTGGGTCTTCATAGGCAGTAGTGTTGGAAGGGACCTGAGCAGATCATCAAGGCCAACCCCCTGCCATGGCAGGAAAGAGTACTGGGGTCAAACGACCCCAGGTAGGTGATTATCTAGCCTCCTTTTTTAAGACCCCCAGGGTAGGAGCAAGCACCGTTTCCCTTGGAAGTTGGTTCCAGATCCTAGCCACCCTGATTAAAGTAGTGCCTCCTGATATCTAGCCTGAATCTACTCTCAGTCAACTTATGGCCATTATTCCTAGTTACTCCTGGTAGTGCTCGAGGGAAGTCTCTCCCATTCCCCACTGGTCCCCCTTGGTAAGTTTATAGACAGCCACCAGATCCCCCCTCAGCCTTCTCTTGTG